ACCCGGGAAGATGGATGTAGGTCTAACACAGAGAACCTAAAGCAAGAAGAATGGGCACTGGGAGAACCAGGGCCTGGGGGAAGTTCACCCTATAGGCCTTATTTCTTTTCTCGGAAAATGCTGGGTGGTTTCACCATAGAGTGTGCTAAATCCGCATGATTTTCATGGAGATTTTAAGGTAAAGATAGAGAACTAAAGACAGGAATAGAGGATAAGAACAGACATGGAAGCTGCACTCACGTACCACGTGACTTCTGCAAGTCAGACAATCCCTACAGACATAATTGTAGGCCGACAGTGCAGTGCTTCTCAAGACGGACACGCCCGTGCCAGCTGCACTGCTTGCTAGGTGTGTCTTGGGCCAGTTATCTAACCTCCCTACACTTCACATCCTCAGTTTCAAATGGATACAATACAGTATCTATTTCCCATGAGCGTTGTCAAGATTAAATGAGAGCACATATGTAAAAGCTTTTGAGCATGGCGCCTGGTGAACAATAACAATTCAATAAATTTTTGCTATCTAATGACAATAACAATAATAGTCATAGTTCAAATGGTAATAATAGCTCTCTGAAAGGCCAAGCTAAATAATTTTTTAATTCCCTTAACATACCAATAAATCAACTAGAATTGGAAACAAAATTTCCTCCAGGCATAATTTGGTTGCCAAGTTCTCTAACAATTATGTGAAAGACCTACGTAGAACAGGTTCCATCCAAACCTCCCTACACATTCATTAGTGTTATGTTCAAATTTAGTAAGTTGACAGAACTTTCATTGTCCACCATTAGAAGTCAGCCTGTTATATTTTCTGAATGTTCAAGGGCTAGCAGTCAATATGTGGTTTCAACACCTCTAACGTTTTTACGAAACCTGCCAAGTGACAACCATTTCCAGGAGGCTGACTCCACCCAGTCATCAAACACACACCCATCCCCAATAGCAGAAGGGCATTCAGGTCTCCCCATCTGCCTCCCTGGTCAAAGGGACCACGGCTGTTGGGAGTCTTCTACAGTGCATGGGCAGGTTTACATCCACATTCTGGCAGAGCCTGAAGATGGGAAGCCCAGAATCCTTCATTATGAGATGTACTCGGAACAACTGTCACAGTAGATTACACCTGCACAACCAGGAAACCCAGGCCTTTTTCTAGCCACAAACATTGGCGTTGCATTCTGGACCATTCAGATAAATATCAAAAGCCGTCCTTCAGATAAATATCAAAAGATATGCCTTCTCTCAACACACCAGTTCACAACTGCTCTTCCTCTTATGAACTGCCTGTGAGGAGGGAAGAAAAGAAAGGAAATATTTTTGAAGTCTGCTATAAGCTAGGAATGGTGAGACACTTATTGCATGTAACCCTGTGAGGAAGTACCATATCCTCATGTTATAGATGAGGACACCAACACTCGGAGAGGTTTAATTTAACTTGCCCCAATGACACTGGTAGGAGTTAGAATTTGAACCCACATCCATCCGTTTCTAAACCCATGATCCCTACAGCACCCCATGAGGTGAGCCTCTCACTACCATTGCTTCTTATCACCACCTCAAACCTAGTAGTGGGGCTTATACCACTGGTTATCTTATTACTCCCGAAAGTCTTCTCATGTCGAGCAACAATTTACATGCACCTCAAAGGGTTTGTCCATGTCACACTTCACTTAGCTCAGTGTCTGGCAGAAAGGAGGCAAGTGCCTGATCTAAATCTTTCCTCTCATAACCAGACTACAGCAAGCCTGTGTCCTCTGCATCTGCATGTGATTATCACATAACGGCGCCTCGTTAACATCAAGCTTTCAAAACCAAGAGTATTCCACCAGGTAACAAGCTAGTCAGTAATTAAAAGATGCACCAGTCTATCACTTTAAGCACTTCACATTAAGAAAAGGATTAACTCAAATCAAGGACTCTACTGACACTCCTATGTGGGAAGACCTTTAGGGTAAGAGAGGAATATATACGTTGATATCTCTGTTGGTGAGTTTGCATGATTAAAGATGTTTCTTTGCCACGGGGTCATCAAAGAGGCATATCACGGCTGTAAATTCTGAGCACAAACAAACGAATTACCCCTAGTTGAGAACTCTTGGAGGAACGGGTCCTAGTCATGAATATCATTGGGTCTGACCATTGGAGGCACAAAGTTACACCCATATCAGAAAAATACCATGATTGTCTCGTTCATTAATTTTTAAACAGTTCTTTCTCCAGCCGTTCTTCTTTTGCAGTTACCCAATATTCAGAAAGATTACCCCTTTTCTGATTGCTTAGAAATGTATTTTCCCCCCAATGTCCTTAAATCATCCAAATTTGCACTAAATAACAGCATCAATATTAAATAATTCAGGAAAAGGTGTGCACATCTCTCCCCTTACCCCTGTCCCCCATAAACAGCTATTTGAATAAAAGGAAATAAACCTGTATATATGTTTAAAGCAAGTGTATCTGCCTAATTTTAAGTGCCTAAAATTAAGATTTCAAATTTCATGGATTCTTCAGGAAAACTATAGCTGAATAAGGGAAGGCCTAAGAATGCATTAGGTGGAAAAGAGATGATGGCCCACGGAAGAAAATATACTAGAGATGAGCCAGACAACAAACCATCCTTTACCCAGATACGCAGCACCTCTCTGAGCAGCCCAGTGAATACCACTGTGTGTCAAAAAACGGCCTCTCCTTGATACTGGCTCAAGACAAGGTTGACATAAGGGAAGCCATATTGTAGACAAGAAAAACTCTATTGTAACTTTGAACGATCTCTGACAAACTAACCCAGCTGGATATGCCCCCTCCAGGAGATCTAACCGCTCTGTAGATTTTACGACCCCTGCTTGTGCATGTACCTCCCAGCTGCGATAAGATGATAACTTCGTTTTTTGAGTTCCTTAGGAATGTGATGACCCCCCCCGCCACCTCCAAAAGAGAATCTATGCTGATAGCCATCATCAGTGAAAACTGCAAGATCTGGTGTGGCACTCCTAGACTGCAACACCAGAAGGTCAACATTCCTAACCCCCTCCCCAATAACACAATGGCCTATATAACTGCTGTAAGATTTCATGCCCCCTTAAGATGGTTCTTTTGGACATGAGTCAGCCATCTTCCCTCTTGCTGGCAAGCTGTAATTAAAAGTCCATTTTCTCCTACCACCTTGCCTCTTGACTATCGGCATGTCTTGCAGTGAGCAGAAGGCCCCACATTGGGCGGTAACATTATAATCCTACTTTTAAGTTTATACTGTTGTGGCTTTTATAAAATAGTCTAAATTAAAAAAAAAAATTTTTTTAATTTTTCCTGGAAAGAAATGGGGCAAGCCCTCCAGGTAGTGCTGTCAAGATAAATCTGCTCAGCTTTTTCACAGGGAGTCTGCACGCCCTGAAGGGGATGAATCTCAAACCAGGAAAAGCTTGAGTGTCACCTGCTCCTTAGTTGAGAAATAACCACAGTGCAGGAAAGACTCGAGGAGGGTGAGGCACAGAATTATATTTAGAATTTGTGAAATATGTAAGTCACAAAGACCCCCCACTGTCAAGGTACCATCCAGGAGAACACGTCAACACACAACAGCATAAACAACAGGCTGCATCACCCAGCTGGAAACTATCTTTCCACTTGCTCATGTTCTACCTCAACAGGAGGACAAAAGCAATTTTCTTGTTCCCTCCATCCTCTATATAAAATTATCATCCATAACAGCAACTGTAGAGTAATGCTAATAGGGGTGGCTTGCAATGCTCAGGCAGATCACTTTGATTCATTCATTCAAAAAGTAAATAATATAGGAATGATCATTAAAGAGGTTCTCAAAATCAGGTATTATTTACTTATAATAAAAATACATTTTTTAAATGATGTATTTTTTAAATTCTTTCACAGGAAAAATGAAAACAAAACTGTAAACTCCCTCATATTATCCCGAGGCATTCTTCAACTAACAATCTTATTCACAGAGCTATTGATCAAGGAAGGGCCACAAGGAGAGTCAACTGAAAATAGTTTATTTTTAAGTTGGATTTTTTTTTTTTTTAATTTAAAAAGCCTTACCCAGTCTAAAAAAGCCAATAAGCCTGAAGCAAGAAGTTTTCTGAATTTTCAGTGGTACTAAACATTTATCACAGAGGATGCCTTTGTTCTTGATGTATAAAAATTCTTTCCTCTGTCATTCAACCAATGTTGAGTAATGGCGTCACGGGGGCCCCTCGTTTCCGCATCCTCTACACCCTTCCTGGTGAGTTCCTCATCCCACCCCACCCCCAAGAATGCATATTCTTAAGGCAACGGGCTTGGGGGCAACAATGCACAGAAATGTATCCACGCATTCACACACCAATGTGAGCCACCTAGGTGAGCTCATGGCCCCTTGTTGAGGTTTTAATTTGCACTTTTTGTGATGTGCTGGTAAATTTAGACAAAAGAATTAAAAGAGATAAAGGTGGGGCCGGCCCCGTGGCTTGGTGGTTAAGTGCGCGCGCTCCACTGCTGGCGACCCGGGTTCGGATCCCGGGCGTGCACCGACACGCGGCTTCTCCGGCCATGCTGAGGCTGCGTCCCACATACAGCAACTAGAAGGATGTGCAGCTATGACACACAACTATCTACTGGGGCTTTGGGGGGAAAAAATAAATAAATAAAATCTTTAAAAAAATAAATAAATAAAAAATAAAAGAGATAAAGGTGAAAAAATATTGAAGGGACAATATTTTTTTAAGTGATAAGATGCCTTGGGAAATGTAATTACACACTCCTTACCATAAACAGTGTAAGAGCTACCATTAGTCAGAATATATTCTATGGTTCAAGTGAACAATTCTTGATGCATTCCCCCCAAATTATTTTCCTCTGCTAAGGCAAAAGGAAATAAATCTGTAAACAGTAAGACACTTCAAAATAGGTAGTGCTCACTTGGTGGAATTATCTTGTCACAAACACCCAACAAAAGCAATTGCTTATGAGTAAAGGTTTATTTTAAGCAAAATGAGTTACGTAATATACCTTTCCTTTACTGAAACAGTTTATTTCTAACAATTCCAGTAAAGTTGTTTATATTAAAACTTCAATCCTTCCAACAACTCATGGTGGCTTGTCCATTGGACTGGATTGAGAGGAGACCACGACTTCATCACCTGTATAAACCCAGCTCTTGGCATAGTGGCTGAAGCGAGTAGCAGCTTAAAGCAACTCAAAGGTTATTTTTCATATTCGTAAATAGTATCACTTTTTTCCATTAATTCTACAGATTAAAAAAAAAAACCTAGCCTTACCAGAGTGATGACCAGATTTCTGACTCTGCCTCTCACTCATTGTGTGATACTGAGCAGATCATTTCACCTCCCTGTGCCTCAGTTTCCTCTTCTATAAAATGGAGATTAATTACAGCACTTGTCTCCTAGTGTCGTTATAAAGACACTAATAATTTAAATGAGTTAATAGTGTAGTTCTTTGTGCTGGACGCTGTGTCATCATCATAACCAGCATTTACCAGTGCTGGGAAGGGGGACAAACCTAGCATGGGAAGGGCTCTCTATCTCCCATCTGAAAAATTTCATAATAAAATGGTGAAAGAACTGGATAAGGGGAAGAAATATGTGAAGAAGAAAAGGAAATTAGTATGGCAGATGGGTCGCTCTACCTCCCTAAAAAAGTATTATTCGTATTATTCATCAGGAACAACAACGACAGCAACAACAATAGCCATGACCTTCACAGAAATCTCACCTACTGTGTTCTATCATTTTGATTTTAAGTCTTAAAACAATCCTATAAGGAAGCTACTCCAAGGATCATTCCCATTTCAGAAACTCAAAAACAAGGACTGAAGGACTGGCTGAGGATCATAAAAGTGTCACTATAAAGAATTAAATATGGTTCTACGGCATCCTTCCCACTGCTAGAATAATTCAAATACTTGTTTAATGCCTCTCTCCACAGAGGAAACCACTCTCTTCCTCATCATTGTGTCCCCAGTGCCACAGTTCTTGACACACAGCAGGCACACAAAGATTGGTGAATGGATGGAATGAAAGAAGGAAGAAGGAAGAGAGAGAGACAGAAACATTGTTTTTTTGTTCCACTCACTAGATCCAAACTCTATCCAATACAGTGATTGTAGAGAGAAGCATTACTTCTAATTGCATACTGTCTGATTATAAAAGTGATACATATTTATTATAGACAACTATATTACTTCTTACCAAAGGAAATTAAGTTAATATATTTCCTACACGTAGCCATTTTTTTCCCTCCAGAAAGACTTCCTGAGATCTTCCAATGAATCTAGCCATAGCATACATTCAGATGAAAAGTCAAACTTGCAATCACACTGATCTGACCCGTCCCCCGAGTCAGTCCAGACAGCAGCAAGTAGGGTACTGAGAGGTTTGCAAAATATATCACATAAGGAACAGCTGACGGAACTGGATCTACTGAGCATATACAAAGACATAGGAACAACAAAACAAGTCTCCCAATATTGACAGCACTGCACGTGTCAGAGGGAGTCAACTTTCTTCTGTGAGCCAACTAGGACCAATGTGTAGAAATAAAAGGAAGGAACATTCTAGCTTAACATAAAGAAAACCCCAAGATCAATTAGAAGTTGTGGAAAGAAGTGAACTCTTTTATGAGGCAGTTCTCTAGCCATCAACAGCATTGTCAAGAATATTGTACATACGTGTGCAAAGTTAAACTGGATACCTTCAAAGGTCCCACCCAGTTCGTATCCATACCCTGTGCTTCTAGATCCCCATATATACTTAGGTGATGGCATCATATAGACCAGGGTTAGTAATATGTGGCACGTGTGGCAAACTACCACCATACATGTGATGTCACACACACACAATAAGAGACTACCCAAGATGAATTACAAATATTTGTAAAACTAGAATTATGTAGTAAGAACAAATTTCTAACTCTATTATTAAGTCTCTCACAGAGACTTTGGAAAAAGGATATGGATACTCCAGGGACAAACTTTTTAGTTCAACTTGTGATGCCCAAAATTGAAGGGCTGCATGATATAGAAGAAAACTTGCTAAACTAGTCCAAACTCTTGACTCTGCATTGACTAGCTGTGCGACCTGGAGCATGCCATTACATCTTTACAGATGTCCGAGTCCGAAAGAACTTGCAGTGCTGTTCAATATGGGAGCCACTAGCCACATGTGGCTTACTGACATTTTGCAATGTGGCTAGGGCAACAGAGGAATTTTTAATTTAAATATAATTTTTAATTATATCTTACTGTACCTAATTTATTAAATTTAAGCAGCCACATGTGGCTAGCAGCTATTGTATTGAACAATAAAGCTCTAATGATTCCTGACAGGGCTGTTGAAGGAAAGAGTCCAATTCCAGGCCAACTTCAATCCATTATCTTCTATAAGATCTCGATACCATATAGACAGCTGTGTGAGAAGGAAGAGGGGTGAAAATCTGAGGCCCAACAACAGAAGATCCTTAGGATTCCCGCCAGCTACTGCCTATCCAATTCATCATCACTCCGATATCCTGGGATAGCCAGCCCAGTAGCACCTTATCCTTTAATGCCCAGTGCTAGGTTCCACATTCAAGTATGGCAGTGTAATTATCAAAGTTCTCTGGAAAGATGACCTATGAAGTGCAATGCCCTATGGGAAATACCACCCGCCAGTAATACCACCAGCACCTACCCCTAATATGAAGACATTAGTGAATTATTTGTGAATAACAGTCATTACTGAATATATTAAAATAATATAATAATTATTATTGAATAATAATGTATTATTAAAATATTATGTCCCTGCAGAGTACAAACAGCCACCTCTAAATTAGTTAAATATCTCTTACGAAGAACACCATCACATTTATTTTAGGTTTATTTATTTCAAATCAAAATATACAACCAACTCTAAAATCTCTTTCACAAGTTTGAAAACACACAATAATAAAAGCCAGAAAATGTGACTTTTTAAAGAGTCGTCTACCTTGTTTCTTTAAAAAAATGCAAAAAAACTCCCTCTTTAAAAATTGCCAGATAATATTAATGACAGGCATATTCCAGAAATTTAAGAGGAGCTTGGAGACAAATCTACCAATACATATTAGTATTAGCAGTCATTACAGCACGGGAGAATGAGACCTCAAAATGGCAAATGTGAAAAGGCAGTGAGCCTAATAACGACTAATTTTAGGAAAAAGTTCAAAGTGTATCTAGGAAATTATTTTTGCAGCACTCCACTTCTGCAATATTTTAAAGTCTATTGTTTTGAACTAATAAGCAATGGCCATCAGAAAAACGGTACAAATTATAAGCCAATCATCTGTTTAACAACGGAATGGAATGCTTCCTAACACAGAATGCAACACCACTGGCTAGTCCCACAGAGGAAATTTTCCTGTGTAGAAAACTCAGATGTCTGCTTGCTGATTCTTAATTCCTAAACGGCATTCTGCTGATACTGCATACCTCTTGTAATTATCATGAGTCCTACATCCACAGAGCAAGGCAGACGAAAGCTCCATTGCTGCTGCCCATACCAGCATTAGCTTGCCTTACTCTGCTTAATTGGCTCTGATCACTGGGCAGACACTGAACTCACTGCCTTTTTCTTTTCACATGCTGACTCAAGTATTCTCAACACCATGACTCATGTTTGAGAGTGTCTAGAATAAAAAACACTGATAGTCAACTCCAGCAATTATTCCATTTTAGACTTTAAAGAAAAGTGATAGACTACTTCCAGTTTGACTTAAGTCTTAAGCAGCTAACATTTCTCTGAAACTTGACTTAAAGATGATTTGAAGTTATGAAAAACATATTATGGACAGTACTATAATATTTAAACATTTAATGAAAGGCTGAAGGACAGATTCCTTTCAAGTTGGCCTACAGACCCTGTCTTAGTCTGCTCAGGCTGCTATAACAAATTCCATAGACTGGGTGGCTTAAACAACAAACGTTTATTTCTCGCAGTTCCGGAGGCTGGGAAGTTCAAGATCAAAGGTGCCAGCCAATTCAATTCCTTTTTTTTTTTTTTTTTGAGGAAGGTTGGCCCTGAGCTCACGTCTGTGGCCACTCTTCCTCTTTTGCTGAGGAAGACTGGCCCTGAGCAAACATCCATGCCCATCCTCCTCTATTTTGTATGTGGGACGCTGCCACAGCACAGCTTGTTGAGCGGTGCCTAGGTTCACCCCCAGGATCCAAACCTGTGAACCCCAGGCCACGGAAGCAGAGCACACTACCTTAACCACTACACCACTGGGCCGGCCCCAAAAGGGCATATCAGTTCCTAATAAGGGCCCTCCTGGTTTGCAGATGGATGCCTTCTTGCTGTATCCTCACGTGGCAGAGAGAGATCGAGCTAGCTCTCTGGTCTCTTCTTAAAAAGGCACTAATCATGAGGGCTCCACCCTCATTACCTAATTACTTCTCAAAGGCTCCACCTCCAAATAACATGACATTGGGATTAGGACTTCAGCATATGAATCTGGGGAAAACACATTTAGTCCATAGCAGACTCCAAATAAGAAATGGAGGTCCTCCTTATGTCTTCTGAATTAAAAATCACTGCATTTCCAGTAGAGAGGGTATCCAAGGGTGAGAGAAGCACAGTGCACGGCGCAGTTCCAGGCACTTGCAAATGATGGTGGTTGAACCTGCAAACATGGGCCTTTGGTTTCCCTAGCAGTGGATGGAGGAAATCCCCAGCAACAAGCTGTGAAAGCTGAGTTCCCCTTTGGCTGCTTGTTTTTATGTTGGTAGTTAACGCCTACAATAAGTAAGCAGAGAAATTCATTTCTAAAGGTGAAAAAATAATAATACTGTTACCTGGGCTAATACCTTGGAAATTTACAGTATTAATATAACATAAAGCTTCAGCTGTTTCAACTAGGGCAGATATCACCAAAAGAAACAATGGCCTTTCAACAATGGAGAGTCTCCAACCTTGACTCTCCTGGAGTTCAGAGAACAAGGCCAAATGTAACATTTATCAACTTGTGGATATCAAGACTGTTTCAGAACACTTGCAGACACAGCACAAGTGTGATGCTATACTCACAACATGATTTGACAAGGTTTGGAGGCCCTACAAACTTGAGACTTTTGTTCCCATTTCCCCATCCACTCAAGGTCCTTTTTTTTTTTTTTCCTTTCTTATGAACTGCTTCCCTTACAGCTGTTGTTTCCTTTTCATTCTTCCAAAAGATATCCAAATGACAGAGTCCATTTGCCAACTCATAGCCAGAGGCAAAGAAGTCATTACGCACTAGGAAAGGGAGCCCATCGTCATATCTGGTGATTATTCTCCATTTCACACAATGCATATATGTTTACCGCTTTCCCCTCGAGGCCTCATTCTTGTACTGAAAATATTTTAATTGTAATTATAAAGCCATCATCATCCACATGTATAGCAGGCTTATTTTGATTAGAAGTCACTGCAGCCAAGAAACAAGTCACTTTAGGTTCCATCTCTCACCCTCATAGTGCTCAATATCTTCAACAGCTGAATCTCATGAATGGCTTGCTGAATGGAACGAAATGCCCCCCAGTACGAATTCCAAATTCTGCATCTTCAAATCCAAAAGATGGTTATAAAAATCACAGATTGAAAAGCTGCTGAACTGCAGAATATATATTGCTATTTAAGAGTTTATACGTCCTCTATTTAAGAAAGTGTAGACCTCTTAGAAAATTCAGAACAATTTACATTAATGTTTCATTTGTCTTGAAATAGGGATGGTGAGCACAGCGCTCGATAGACTGAGCTATCTACTCAGTCGTAACTTTTATGTCCCTGCGTATGCTCTTCAGAATTATTATTTTGGGAACTGTTGAAGAAAAGTCACAGCTCAAATGCTGTATGTGCCTATTCCTCAGTTCATAACAAGTATTTTTCAAACTTAAGTCTATGAGTATAAACACTTTTAAACTTTCCTTGACTCTAAGCATTTAAAAATAGTCTGCCCAGGGGCCGGCCCCATGGCTTAGCGGTTAAGTGCACGCGCTCCGCTGCTGGCAGCCCGGGTTCAGATCCCCGGCGCCCACGGCTTCTCTGGCCATGCTGGGGCCGCGTCCCACATACAGCAACTGGAAGGATGTGCAGCTATGACATACAACTATCTACTGGGGCTTTGGGGGGAAAAATAAATAAATAAAAACTTTAAAAAAAAAAATAGTCTGCCCATTAAATGTGCTACTAGTGATCTTAAAAGATGATATAATATTGTCTTATCTAGCATATTATGTTCTATTGTCTTGTCTTGTATTATCCAGATATTGTATTATCTAGTATTATCATGATTCTCACCTGTTGCTTGTTAATTTCATGCAAATTCTGATTGATTTTCAAAAGTAGATCAATAATAATGGCCAACGTATATATAATATTTACTATGTGCTGGACCTTAGGCTTTGCTTAAATTAACTCATAAGAGCCTCACAATGAGCCTATTAGGTGGGTACTTCTCCAATGCCCTGGGGAGTTTTCATTTTAAAGTTCCTACTCCTAAACTATACAAGCCAAGCTCAAGTAAAAATAAATACCAGATAAATAACAAAATAAATGTCATGTTCTTAAAACAGACCAGGGTAACTTCTTTGGTACTGCAAATGATTAATGATTAATGTGAATGGTAAAATAATTAAGTGTACTAATTCTTGGGCTATTTGCCCACACCAAATTTCCAAGGTTAACCTTACCCTCAGTGTGCACGGGCATACACACCCACCAGATACATCCAGACACTGAGGTGTCCATGCTTGGGAGAAAGTCAGAACTGTAGGCTAGAACAAGCCCACAGAAAATTTGCACCCAATTTTTAAAATGAAGTATTAATTTTATCACCTTCTTTACCAAATCTGCTAACAAGTGGCAAGTCAGACTGAAGTTTCGCTCCTCATCCTCCTCCCCACTCTTTGGTAGAGGTGCTAATGAGCAGAAAAATGAGAGTCTAAGGTCCAGAATAATCTACAAACTGGAATAATCAGTCTGAAACCTCAAGAGCTGACTTACTAAAGCTTTACTAATTTGCACCACAGAAGAGGCCAATTCCTACATCAGTGCTGCAGGACCCCAAAATCCAAGATAAAATATGCCAAATCAATTTATTCCTCCATAAAACAAGCATGCATTCAAAAGTTTGTCATGATCACAACCAGCAAACTCTGCAATTTATTTGGTATTAATAACACCCAAAAATCTTACTACTATTTCTCTTTTGTTCTCCTGTGTGAACATATATTCCAAGTGCCTAGAAGAGGCATGGCACAGAGTAGGTGCTCAATAAACGTTTACTAAATGACATGCATGAATGAATAGTTCAGGCACCACAGCGTTCCCACCTATTTACTCCCAGTTTCCAGTCTTTGCTCCCTGAAAACCACACTGCACATAGGCACCAGAGGGACTCTTCTAGAACACCAATATACCTATGTTGCTCACCTGCTTGAATCCTCTTCACAGCCTTCCCCACACCTCATCACCAAGCCGAAGCCCAAACTGTCACAGAGCCACTGTGTTACATCTCCAGCCATTCTCTCACATACTCTTGGCCTTGACTATATGGTAACATTAGTGAAATCGCCCAGGCCTAAGTGGTGTCCTCTCCTCCCTTCCATCAACCAGATGCCTTCGATGACTGTGTTCTCCTGAAAGGCAACACATATCTTTATCACTGCACCTAGCTCACTGTGTTATTAACTATTCCGGTGCCCAACTGCCCTCCTAGACTATGAACTCTTACAGGGAAGGTTAACTCAGTAATCACTGTATCCTTGTATCCCCAGCAACTAGCAAAGTACTCAACACATGGTAGGTATCAATAAATGTTTACTGGGGCCAGCCCAGTGGCGCAGCAGTTAAGTGCGCAGGCTCCGTTTCAGCGGCTCGGGGGTCGCGGGTTCAGATCCCGGGCATGCACCAACGCACCGCTTATCAAGCCATGCTGTGGCGGTGTCCCATATAAAGTAGAGGAAGATGGGCACAGATGTTAGCCCAGCGCCAGTCTTCCTCAGCAAAAAAGAGGATATTAGCTCAGGGCTGATCTTCCTCAAAAAAAAAAGTTTACTGGATGTTTGGATGGATGAATGGATGGACAAAACGAAATAGTATACATCTATCCAAAAATATCCCAGGCAGCCATGCTTTTGAAGATGAAAATATTAGGCTTGCCAACAGGAAAAGAAAATAAATATAAATGGATTGCATAAGAAAATACTCTCCATTAGTAGCAATGATTACAGAATTTATACCGTTCACGCAGTACTGCTGGGACTTACACTTAATTTCTCAGGGCAATGAGGTATGCACGACCCTAAGAACTGGGAGATAAAGTTGTAGCTACACATTCTTGGATTCTCTACTCCAGAGGTGATATTATGAAAGCTAATCTAAAAAACAGAAATGACTTGCAGTCAATGCTAAGAAAAAACAAACCGACGTCCATGCAATGCCATGCAGGCACACAGCTTCCACTCAGTGCAGAGGGGTGGGTGCTGGCTCAGAGCAGCCTCAACCAGCACCCAGTGGACACAGGCGTGCAAGCCCACCCACCTGTAGAAGAGAAAGCTATCAGAAGCTCAAGGACCTAGTGTGCACTAGGCTGGCACTGCAGAATTTAGTTTAGCTTTGGCTGGAATCAGAATGCTGCCCAGAAGTTTTGGGTTTGTGTCTTAATTGAGGCATCACCTTTGGCACAGGTGCTGAGTGTTGCCGGCCACAGGGGAATCTGAGTATCAACACTGGCAAAAAGAGACAAAAAACAAAAAAGTGTTTTTGCTGCATCTGAGCTGTGCCAGAGATGGTGCCCGTGATGTCCCACTGTGTCATGCTCTGCCCTTCAGGCTTTGCCCCCGGATAAAGCACTGGGATAACCTTCATTTCTTGAAAACAGACATTCTGAAATTCTGTATCTTAAAAACAGAAAATGTAGGGGCTGGCCCGGTGGCGTAGCAGTTAAGTGGGCGCGTTCCGCTGCTGGCAGCCCGGGTTCGGATCCTGGGTGCGCACCGACACATCGCTTGTCAGGCCATGCTGTGGCGGCGTCACACATAAGGTGGAGGAAGATGGGCACAGATGTTAGCTCAGGGCCAGTCTTCCTCAGCAAAAAGACGAGGATTGGCATGGATCTTAGCTCAGGGCTGATGTTCCTCACCAAAAAAAAAAAAAAAAAGCTAAATAAATAAATAAAAACAGAAAATGTAGATGAGAGTTCATTATGCTATTCTCTCTATTTTTGGAGATATTTAAAATTTCCCATAATGTTCTCAAAAAATTTTCCATAATAAATTTTAAAAATATATAAGCCATAATTTTCTATTTCAGGACTTTTATTCCAAGGTGATCAGGACACCAAAAAGAAAGCGAGGTTATCAAGATTATCTTGTTGAAGGGAAAATACCAAAATAGCAACAACAATAGATGTAAACATAGATTTCATCCCACCTGGTATAGAGTGACTCAGTGTCACCAGAAGCAGCTTACATTCTTCTCTATGGATGATTATGTTTGTGGAAATTACTTGCACCTTTGGAATATATTATTTTTGCTTTTCATTTCTAAAATACTTTAGATAAACATAATGCTTTTCTTTTACATCTTTATGTGTTTAAAACTTTATACAGACATTCCTTGGCACCCTCAAATATCACAATCCAAGCCGATCTTATTCCTACCAGCTGACCCTTCAGGACTCCAAAGGGACAAAGTAGAATTTCCCTCTATTTCAAACTGAGCAACTATTTCAGCAAAACAAAAAGGCCTTTCCTCTGCATTTTTTTAATAGAGGAATATATAAATGGTTACCACATATATATATATATATATATACACAATTTTTTTTTTCCTGAGGAAGATTAGCCCTGAGCTAACATCCATTGCCAAGCTTCCTCTGTTTTGTATGTGGGTCACCGCCACAGCATGGCTGACAAGTGGCGTTATGTCCGCACCCAGGAACCAGACCTATGAACCCAGGCAACTGAAGCGGAGCATGCCAAACTTAACCACTACGACATGGGGCCAGCCCCACAACTTATATATTTTTATATTAACTCCCTCATCATGTTTTCATCATTGATATACTCTGTCAACTATATTTGTAAAAATATATCTTTTTATTTCTATTTATTTTTGTTTTGTTTTGTTTGTTTGTTTATTTGTTTTGTGAGGAAGATCAGCCCTGAGCTATGTTTGTTTGTTTGTTTGGTGAGGAAGATCAGCCCTGAGCTATGTTTGTTTGTTTGTTTGTTTGTTTGGTGAGGAAGATCAGCCCTGAGCTAACATCTATCGCCAATCCTCCTCCTTTTTTCTCCCCAAAGCCCCAGTAGATAGTTGTATGTCATAGCTGCACATCCTTCCAGTTGCTGTATGTGGGACGCGGCCTCAGAATGGCCAGAGAAGCGGTGTGTTGGTGCGCATCCAGGATCCGAACCCGGGCCAACAGTAGCGGAGCGCGCACACTTAACCGCTAAGCCACGGGGCCGGCCCTATTTCTATCTATTTTTTTAATTTTCTTCCCTCATCTCAACCCAAAGTACTTCCTCTCACCTCAATAAACTCTACTAAAACAATTCTTTTGGATACTTTTTATAGTTATCAAGAGTAGAAAGAGATGAATGCTCTCTTTCTTCCAAAGTCTTTTCCACAGTCACCTGTGCTCGGATCTTTCTCTTCTTGCAGCCATGTCATCTCTCTCTTCTCCCTTTCTTTCTCCACCTCTCTAGCATTTTGTTGATGAAAGGAACAATACCTCCAAAGCCACACCTTCTCATGCCATTCCCCTATTTAGGGAACAGCATTCTATCTCTCCCACGTTACATCACATTTAAATGTCGGCCTGGCTCCCAAGGTCCTCCACTATCAGAATCACCAACACCTGTCCAATCACGTCCCCCCACAGTGCTCAATGGGCCCTGCCACTTGGGGTTGGGGAACTCCACATTCCACACCCACTTGGACTTTAGAGCTTCCTCTTTCATGAACTGCCTCCCTCTCCTCTACCCAACAACTCCACCCAATTTGCAAAAGCCAGAATGGCTCAGATCCAAACACCACCACTCTGGAAAGGTGGCTAGACACAGGACAATTTTTATACCTGTATATTTCAATATCACTGGAATATTACCCTCTGCAATCTGGTGGGACTGATCTATAATTTGGTAGGGAGAATTTACAGAAATTCAAAAAATGAATTAAGGTGACTAAGGAAAAATTTTAAAGGGCAGGAAAACACATAACCTCTTGAATCATCAAGACTGATAGTTTTGGCAACTAAGTTATTAAAATAAATATTTTTACCATTTATAAGTTCTTCAAGTAGTCTTTCTCTAACAATATACAAATAAAGAGAAACAAAAATACGGAAGTCCCAAATGCATATGCAGTAGAGAGAGAAAAGATGAGTGTACCCCCCAAAGGTCCCTTTTGTAATGCAGGTTCCTGGGTACATTGAGCCATATATTTGACGTGGTCAAGGCACAAGCCCACATTTGGCAACAATGAGCACACACTCTAGACTGCAGCTCCCAAAAGGAAAGGTCTCTGCCTAAGTTATCTGTGAATTTCCAATGACCTACAAAGTGCCTGGCACAAAGAAAACACTCAATAAACGGTTGCTTAATAAAGAGAGGCTTGTTTTGAACTTTATATCCTAGATTATATATATATAAATATATATAACTACAGATAAAGATATCTGGGATTTATTTACAAACTCATTATTAAACATGAAGTTTAATCCAAACAATAAGAGAAAAATTCTTTTTTTTTTTTTTTAAGCCTTTGGTGGAGTTAATTATCTGGAAATGTTGTGATTTACCTAATTTAAATTTTCCATTTACCTTCCCAATCTAAGAAAATCTCTTTCCTTTAGGGCAGGGGTTAGCCAACTGCTTCAGAGAGCCAAATCTGGCCCAACATCTATTTTTGTAAACAAAGTTTTATTGCAAAACAGCCACATCCCTCTATTTACATATTGTCCATACCTGCTTTTGCACTACAAAGGCCGAGTTGAGTATCTGCGACAGAGAACTGACCTGCAAGCCTAAAATATTTGCTATCTGGCCCTTTAGAAAAGAAGTTTGCTGCCTCCTGCTTTGGGGTATCACGTAATACTGAATATCCAATAAAAGGTGTTTTTTAAAATAACTAAGAAGGGCCGGCCCCGTGGCTTAGCGGTAAAGTGCGCGCACTCCGCTGCTGGCGGCCCGGGTTCAGATCCCGGGCGCGCACCGACGCACCGCTCCTCAGGCCATGCTGAGGCCGCGTCCCACATACAGCAACTAGAAGGATGTGCAGCTATGACATACAACTATCTACTGGGGCTTCGGGGGAAATAAATAAATAAATAAATAAATAAAATTTAAAAAAAAATCTGAAGCATATATAGCAAAAAGTAAAGCTTTAAAAAAAAATAA